GTAATATTTCGCCGTCTGTGAACGTTATGCTGTAATATTTCGCCGTCTGTCAACGTTGTGCTGCATGTAAGCCCAATAATGATTTTTATGATTTTTGTAAGCCCAATAATGTAAGTAGAAATAAGCATGTAATAATGAAGTTAAATGTCAATGTCAAGGTCAATCTCTTCTCTTATCTCTCTGGGCATTGAACAGTCGGTACCACATGCATCACAGTCACTAAGCCCGCCTTTAGCGCGGGTTCCAGCTAGTTCTATAAAATATATCCTCCATGAAGTAGATTGCGCTGCGGATTGTAACTGAATGAGATCGTAAGCTGGCTACTGCGCGTGTAGCGTTATATTGCGACCGGTCACCACTCGTCCGCCCATCTCGAGAACGTCGCCCGGCGGCAGAGTCAAGTTACAGCTTTACTTCAGCAGCAGTAGCATCAGCAGCAGCAGTAGCAGCAGCAGCAGCAGCAGAAGCAGTAGAAGAAGAAGAAGAAGTAGTAGTAGTAGTAGTAGTAGTAGTAGTAGTAGTAGTAGTAGTAGTAGTAGTAGTAGTAGTAGTAGTAGTAGTAGTAGTAGTAGTAGTAGTAGTAGTAGTAGTAGTAGTAGTAGTAGTAGCAGCAGCAGCAGTCGTAGCAGCAGCAGCAGCAGCAGAGCAGCAGCAGTAGTACAAGTTGTAGTATACACGAGTCATACGCTGTCAAGTTCACTGCGCAACTAAGCGGTGAAATAGTGGTGATTTGCCTAAATCTGTCAACTTGTCTCGCTGCCTAATATCAAGATCGCTCCATTCTCACGCCCGTGGAACCATTTCTGAGATAAAATAGAACATTTCGCTAACTGTTGCGTAGGCGTAGAGTGGGTCAGTTGCACATATTTCGCTGATTGGATTTGTGTTAGACGCTCGTCAACTGTGGGACAACCGGTCGGCACGTTCATGGCGCACGCGAGACATATAGAACGGCGGATAAGCACATAAAAATAGCCATATTTTGTACGTTTGGGTAGAATTGTAAAATATTGCTTGCGCGTACTAATCGAGTTCCTGAAGATTTTATTATAGGCGTGTTATAGTGCTAATTGTGCATGCCTCTTAGAGATTGAGCAGATAGGGCACTATGCCACGCTTAGAGTTTAGGCCATAACACTAAGAATGTTCATTCAATTAAGTTTCGTATTATCTTAAATGAGATAATAATTATTAATAATAATTAGAGTAATAAGAGTATATGGTGTCGTTCATAGCTAAATGATGTGCGATCATATACAAGTATAAGGCCTTCTATGTTTCACACTATGTTGCCCGGCATGATCTCAGCGCGCGGTTTTTCTCATTTCAACGCGTCCATGGAACCGCGGCGCAAATTGGTATAATTAACTTTTAACAAGTGCACCCATTAGAAGCACGGGACGACAGCGATAAGTTTCTGCGGGTATACTATTTTAGTTTACTCTCGCGAGGGGTTTCACTCACTAAAACGCAAATTCGCGAGAATAGTCACATTTGTGGCCAACGTATAAGCTGTTAACAGCGTGGCTTTTAAAAAGATCCATCAACATAATTATGACCGATTTTTCTATTATGCTCAATTTCGGTGATAACGAAAGAGCTACTGTCGTGTTAACAGTCATATTTGCTGTCATGAATGACATTTGATGGATATGGCTGTATCAATTCTACCATCAATTCTATTACATCCGCGGGCAAGATACGACCATTTAATGTCCCTGTCGCCTACATTCAAGCGGCCTGTTCAACAGTGTGTGCAAAGAAAGATATATTCCTAGATTTCGCCATCCGTCAATAAGGTAATTCCAATGTGTGACGATTGATTGAGCACCATGACAAATCCATGGACGCATTGTTATCATCGCATTTGTGCAATTCTTGCGCTATTATTTCTAGAGCTCTGACAGATGCGTTTGAACGAGTGACGTTATTTTTATGCCTTACGCTGCGAGTAGAAGAAAGTGTCTAAATAATGAAGCGGTACAGACGCGCGTGCAGTAATTTAAATTGCTTTTTCTGCATGGTAATGACACGAATCTGGCATAGCATCATGTTTTGTCAGTCACGTGTGTGTTAAAAAAACATTGTGACGATTCCATTATTAACTACTTAAGATGCCACCGCCGTCACCGCCACGTACCCATGCACAACTACTACCTCCACTACCAGCTACCACCCACCACCATCACCATCACCAGCAGTAGTAGTAGTAGCAGCAGTCGCAGCAGCAGCCGCAGCGGCCGCAGCCGCAGCCGCAGCAGCCGTCACCGCCATCCCACCACTACTACCTCCCCTACCACCCACCACCCACCACCAACCACCCACCACCCACCACCACCATCACCACCACCACCCACCACCACCCACCACCACCCACCACCACCCATTAGTACCACCGCCCACGCCACCGCCACCGCCACCGCCACCGCCATCGCCATCGCCACCGCCACCGCCACCGCACCGCACCACGCACGCACGCACGCACGCACGCCACCGCCAC